TGATGCTGGAATTACAGGCCTGCATATTATGCCCAGCTCTTAATTATCTTTCAATAGAAGAAAAGGAATTATTAAATGTTAAATATCTCCACCACAGGAGAGATACTGTTTCCTAAGTAATCTTACAAAGGTTCAGAACAGTGATGTTGAAAAATATAGCTTATAAGCAACACTTTATTATGCCGGTAGAACATTGTCCCCATTTCCTTTTACTTCATGCTTATTTGTCACTTGCGTTTCTTCAAATTGCCACTCTCCCTTCCATAAGCGTTATTCCCAAGGCTGTTTATTATTAGGTCTACCATTAAATCCCATCAAATAAAGTCTCAGGACATAATAAGGTCCTTCCTTTCCCTACTACTTTCAATTTGCTGCTTTACCAGATACGAGCAGGCGTAAGCCAGGTGCTGGTACTCTACTGAGGACCTTGTGCATGCAGAGAGACAGAGCTCCAGCTCTGAGGGGGCTCCCATTCCAGTGGAAGAGGCAGAAAAATGAGTGAACGTGCTCCTGAGACAGTAAGTCTGGCTGAAGAGCTAAGGAGACCCAGAGCCTCTGGACAATTGATTCTCCAGAGCCTGACCCATCAAAGGAAGATAGTGTGGAAACAGTGTTCAGGAAGAGGTAGAGCAAGGGTCAAGGCCTGCAGGTCATCAGTCTTTGAACAAAGTGTCACTGGGTCAGGTGGCCCGCAGTGCAGCTCTATTTCTACTGGCTCTGCAACCTTGAGTCTCCAGGGGCTTCTTACCTCCAGCTCGGTCCGCATGCGCAGAAGCCGTTAGGAGTGGGTCAGTGGTCACCTGGAGCTGGTGAGAGCAGAGTGAGAGACTGCAGTGCCCAGGTGGCGGAAGCACACAGAAAGACACTTACTTGGCCAAGGCTGGACGAGCTCCCCAGAGAGACTGGGGCTGAGCTGAAAGCCAGGTTGCCAGGTTGCCAGGGAGGAGGATGCAGCCACAAGCAGGAATGTGCAGGCACGCATACAGCACGATAGCAGTGGGATTTAGCGGAAGCATGAAATCGTCTGGGGAGAAGTGAAGAGAGATGAGGCAGGACCGAGGCGCAGTCGTTGCTGAGAGCCCTTGACCTCAGTGCTAAGTAATTTCACCTCAGTCTTGAAAGGAGGCTGCCACCCCACAGATGGAGTGCAGCTCAAACTCAGCTGTCTTCCAGAGTCCAGCGAGACTGCATTTCACTGGGACATGACAGAAAGCCAGTGGTTCATTTAAGGGGTGGCAGCAGAAGCCCTGGAGAGAAACAAGAAACTGGACCTAAGAGGTCACCTTGGGGAGACAGACGAAGCACAGAACGCTGGGTGCAAAGAACATTCAGGGCAGCAACTTCCCCAGGTAAACATGGCTGGGGGAAAGGAGGGAGAGACCAAGGGCGAGTACGGGATTTTGCTTCCAGCCTTTGGCATTTGGTGGCATGGGCTATGTGGATGGGAAACCAGAGGAGAGGATGCAGATGTGGCAGGGAGTAGGATGTTCTCAGTTGTTGAGTAGGAGAGGTTAACCAGCCAAAAGACAGGGAGCCATTGGGCGCTTCCTTAATGGGAAGAATCGTAGCAGATCTAGCCGTCATCGCTGTAGGGAACAGCAGCTGATGCACTGGGTGGTGGTGGGCACATCTGGGTGGGTGTAGACTTTAAGAGGAGCCACCAGAGGGTAAACTAGAAATGAACATGGATGAGGAGAAAAGAGGCAGATTAACAGCCACCCTCAGTATTCTTGAGAAACCTGAGCAGCCAAATCCTCTATTTTGCCCCTCACATCTCATGTGCTAGCAGCAGGTGTGACAAGCTTCGCCTGGAATCCCAGCACTCTGGAGGGCTAGGGCAGAATGACCACAGGGTCCAGGCCACCATGGTAATTTAGCAATGTAGTTAGGTGCTACCTCAAAATAAAAAGTAAGACTAGAGCAGGGGGCTGGGGACGTAGCTCAGGATACAGGCCCTGGGTTGAATCCCCAGGGGTAAGCAAAGGAACGAATGAATCAATGCCACCATGGCAGACCCCACCTCGTCCCAGTGTCTACCCTGGGCTGCGTCCAGTAGACCCACCTAGATACTTGTCCTTGCACATACAGTCACTGCTCCGGTGTAGGTTGTCATCTCTTCCTTCTGGAAGATTGTGCACCCACCTGAGTCTTCCCTCTGAATCCAGCTCTGTTCCCCAGGATTGGCCCCCGAGGCTGTCTCTAGGTTTATCCTAAGAAGATGTGGGTTTCCCTCCATCCCCTGCTAAGCTCACCGCACTTGATAGCTGATATCCCAAGCCTTCTCTCCTCCTGTAGCATCCTCCCTTAGGAGTCAGATGCACTGTCCTGGGACTGCAGTCGGGTCCTCTCTCCAAGCTGCCTCCCCTCCTCTGGAACTGTGGTCACACTCACCTGACAGCCTCCCAGGAGCTCCTTGGTCAGCACTGGCTTCCTTCTCTTCCTCAGAACCACCCTTAGCATGTGCTCTGTCACTCACTCTCAGCCATGGGCCCCACAGGTCAGCCGAGGACCCAGGACATCTCCGATCTGG